TTATGCTTATTCACACCTTTTTACATGTAAATGACGGTTGAAGTAAAATTGAAAATCAATTGGTTTGATGCTTTTTTGGTTACAATTTAATGGTAATTATGATTGGAAAAGGTTAATAGCCAAGGGAATGGTTAAGTTGTAATGATAATTTGCTTGTGGAAAGGCTTGGTTTGGCTTTTATTCAACTCTTCACTTCTCTCTCTCTCTTTGGTTAATTTAAATTGTTGCAATCAAAACCAGAGATGTTTTCATCAATATTAACCCTTTTTTTGGCTTCATTTTGTTTCGCTTATTAATGATGATATTATTGATGTTGCTTTTGGGTTGTTACATTATATTAACCTTTGATAATTGTTAAATCGCAAATAATGAATGATGAAGAGAAATGATTATTTTTTCTTGAGAAGCTTTTCTTTACTCTTTTCTTCTTCTTCTTCTTCTTCTGTTGTTGTTCATAATGATGGTGCTGATGATGATGTGTGTGTTGTTGGTGATGATAATAATAGTTATGCTTGTTACTTAATTATCTTTAAAGTTCTTGGTGTGTGTGTTCTTAGTGGTTGTGAACATTTTGAATTGAATGAAAGAAGATGAAGAAGAGGCAAAAATGTAATGAGAAAGATGAAGGTGATAATAAATACATAATACTCGAGACATGTTTCAATGTTAATCAAGATCATCTTTATCATCATCATGTTAACCTGTTGACGGCCTCTTGCAGGTTAAAACCTGTAAGGTCAACAGAAGTGGCAAGAAGAAGAGAGAAAAATGAAAAAGAAGAAGAAGAAGAAGAAAAATTAAATGATGAACATGAGGTTGATTAGGATGATTAGGATGAAGATAAGTTGAAGATGAAAACAAAAGCTAAAGACACTTGGCTGGTCAGCCCAGCCCTCGGTCCACTTTTGTCGTGACTCTTTCCTTAAAACAAGTAGTTCAGAGTGATGGGTATGATGTGAGTCTGATGAGTATTATGAGTATGATTATGGTGATGGCTAAATGTGTGCAATAAGTAGTTGATTTAAGGGTGCCTCTTTGGCCCAGCAGAGGCCAAGTGCAAAAGATGAGAAACCGTGAAATTCCTCTCTTGTTCATCTTTGCCTGGTTCCAACCAATTTGACTGCTGGGCATTTGTTTTAGCAACAAGCTACAGTTGGATGATGAAGATGAATTGAATAGAGGGAGGGTTAACCTCCTCCGGAACTACAGCTCCTTTAATAGTCTTCATCTTGATATTAGCAAACACCAAGCTGGCGACCTTTCACGAGAAGAAGGCAAAAGAAGCTAAAAACTTGTTCAATGTTTAACGAAACAAAATGGGGCAAAAAATGAGGTAAAATATGAAAAGGCAAATTGAGTTATCAAGAGTTGATGATGAAAATGATGTTGATCATTTAGTAAAGGTTTGACCCTAACCTTGCTCTAATCATGCCTTCTTCATGAGAATCATTTTCCTCTCTGATAATTGCATTTTTCTGTTCAATTTTGCAACAATTTTGTATCATTTTCCATTCAAAATGCTTTTCTTCACCTTGTAATCAACAACAATTAACCATTAATTTATACTTTCAAATGAAACTCAAACTCGTAAAGTCAACCTTTTCTTGTTGAAACCAAAACTCTTTAATCATTTGTTATCAATCAAAGGTAAAACATGACTTTCATCAACATCATTATATAATCACAGGAATCACTCATTTCAATGAATTTTCTTCTTTACTCAACTTTTTAATTCAACTTTATTCACATTTGTGCAATTGACTTTTTTTTATATTCAAACAAAAAGTTAATTGTTTTTTGCTTGAGAGCGCTTTTCACGTCGAGACTTTGAATACAATTTACAATCATCATAATCATCATCATAATCATTTGTTGAATTGTCAGAGTTGGTACAAAATAATGGAAGCAAAACAATTGAATTTGGTGCAAACTTTTTTTTCTCCATTTCTTCTTCTTCTTTATCCACTTTATTCATCAACCTTTTTCATAATATTTGCGTTTATTTGCGTTAACAATTCGTCTTGATTGAATGCATAGTTATCGTCATGCTCAACATGATTCACATGCAATTCAATTTCACCCAAAATTACAATCATTTCTTAAACATTCAACCAATATTAAGAACTTTTTTTCTCTCTTTTTTCTTGCCTGAACTTTTCCAAAATCAAACCCGCCTTTCATTTCCTCTTTAATCATGAAAATGTTAATTGCATTTATGCTTTATGAACAGAATCACAAATTTTGAGCTTTTTATTTGCTCGCCTCATCTTTACCTTTTCATCAAAATTTCCTTTTTTTTATTCTCTTTTCCTTTTCTCTCTTTTTTTGGCTCTTCATTGCTTATTTATTCTGGTCTCTTTTGGTTACTTTTGTGTTGACCAAAAAAAAGAGAGGAGCAAAAAGACCCAAATTTTATGAATTAATGACCAACCGACTGTTAGGTGTCACCAGCCATTATTTATCGAGACTCTGTTATTTGATATAAAAATTGCGCCAGATTTGTTGGCTGTTCAAAGATGTTCAATTTGGTATTTTATAATGAATTTATAGTGAAACTTGATGGGCAAGCAAAAATGGTAAAAGGTCTAATCTCACATTTCATGAGATTATTATTTTCTATTATTACGGTTATTGTTTAACTTGATTGCTTACCTTTCACTGATTTTGATCTTATTTTGATATTGAAAGTTCCCTCTGGTCTGACTTTAGTTTATAAATGAATGGCATAAATCATCTTCTTGGTTGGTTGAGAAGGAAACAAAAAAAAGAGAGAAAAGTAAACTTGAAATTGTACATTGTATTCAACGTTTAAGCATCGCCATCTTCATCATCTTCATCTTCTTCTTCCTCATCATCATCAACAGAGGATAAATAGTATTAAGAGTCAGAGAGAACAAGAAAGCAAAAAATATTTCTCAGCTTTTTGAGTGTTACATTGAAAAAAAATAAATAAATTAAGCAGCTCTATGATGATCAATAGATAATTTTGAAGGATAAAGTTTGGGGAAAAGTTAAGGGATAAATATGATGATGAAGGGAAAAAGATGCTGCAAATGAAATTGACCGATGGTTTCTCATATTTCATTAAATATACCGTTCAATAATCTGAAGGAACAACAAGACAATCAAGAAAAATTCAGTTTTTTTCTTCTTTTGTATCGATCAAATTCATTGATAGCAAACAGTTGATCTTTTAATTGAATAATTGTTTCTTTATTTCAATTTTTATTCTTCAACTTTATTCATCTCGAGTTTCATTAGCTCTTGAATTTCAATATTCGTAAGTTTCAGGTTCATTCAATTCAGATCAAAATGTCGATTCAGTATCGTTTTTGATAATTTTTTACACAATTTTGTCATTCAATGTTATCACCAAGATGTATATCTCATGGTGAAAAATTAACATGTAAGTCTATGGGAAAATTTCCAAGTACAAATTTTTATCAATAATCCAAATGACCTGAAAGCAACTCTAGTCGAGTCAACTTGGACTTGACAACATCTGGTGACACCAAAAATAGAGATAATCGTTGATCTAATTGTGTCAAAAGAGGGCGACACAGAAGCGTTATGAGCTTGACAATCATTGAACTGTTTTTAAACTCAATGAATCACAAGCTTCTAATGCAAGTTTGATGTTTTATTTTTAACTCATCGTTCATTTACAAGGACAAAATTTAATTGAAAGCTTAAATTTTGCCATTTCACTTGATTCATCGATCAATCTATGGAAATGATAAAACGTTTAAAGCTAAATTAGTCAACAATCCCTTGACTACGTTTTCACTGAATATTTGATGCAAAACAATTATTCAAATGGTTTGGTTCTAAGCAAGTGAAGTGAAAGATAATTCATCAAACGGAGATTAATCTAATCTAACCTGATCTAACCTAAGTTTGAATTTCATCTTGAATTGCTATTAAATATCGATTATTGTATTGAATCTTGAATTGTTGATATTTTCTTACATTGTAAGGAAAACGGAAATTATCTGATTGATTGAACAGTCGAAATGATTAAATTTCAAGTTGACATTTAAAGGAAACGAAATTGATATTTGTAAATGAGATTAAAGTTGAAGTACAAAACGACTCATTTACTTGAGAACTTTTGTTTTTCCTTTCAAATTGAATAAATTGCGAGTTCGGAAACAGGGAAAATAATACAAAACCAATCAGAATGTCACACTTTTTTTTACCGATTAAAATCAATGTTAACAACAATTGACGGTAAAACCAACTGGTGAAAACAATTCATTTCAAAATTTACTGTCAACTCAAATAAAATAGTTTCATTTTTGTTCTTCTCTTTTTTCCTTTTTTCTCATGACAAAAGTCGTTTTTTTAATCAATCAAACTCAGTTCTCATTGAATTGAAATAATAATCAGAAAATGAGTGAAACAATTGAAGAAAGAAGGCAAAATAAAAAAGGAAAACAAAAGCAAATAAAAGGAAATCAATGAATCAATTTCAATAGATTTCATGAAATCCTACACAAAGATTATCATTATCAAGTCAAATGTCGAGTAAAGAGCGTCAACTGCAATTTCCCTGAAAAGTCCTCGAGAAAAGTTCAGAGCTCGAGTTTCCTAAATTGGCCAACATTATCATCATTAAAACTAGAAAAAATGTTTCAAATGATATTACAATGATGAGAAAATGAAAAGAATCTTCGCTCTTCTCCTTTTTTTCGTTCATTGGAAAAACATTTCTTATTCGATTAGCTAATGTTTTCATTGAAGCTTGAGATTGATGAAATTAGTAATTGAGACAAAAAACATGATGATGATGATGAAGATGGTGAAGATGTTTGCAAGGGAAAAAAGAAAAGCATATGAAAAGGCAATGATTCTAATGAATCTTTTCTCATCATCATCACCATCTTATTTTCCCTGTAATATTGATCGTTCATGACAAAATCATTTTCTTGAAATCTTCATTGTCTTCTCTTCTTTATCTTTTTTTCACTTTTCTTCTTCTTTCTCTCCCGTTCTTTCAGGCTTACAATTTATTGTTGCTGATAAATCTTGAAACGATAAAAGCATAACCAATTAGAGTTGTACAATGTTGATTATGTTTCCAAAAATGGTGAATTGATTGTGAACCAAGGAAAAGAAGCAAGAAACAAAAAAAAAACGAAGAGAAAAAAAAGTTGCTTCAAAAGCTGATTCCAATGTTCATTGGTCCAAACAGGATAAAAAAGCGAATCGAAGGGAAAAGACGAAAACTAACAACGAAAAGTTACATGAAAATCTGGACCCAATAATTGAACCAAAGGTAAGCAGAAAATTGAAATTCAAAGCAAACCTTGTATTAAAAAGCAAAAGGTTTACATCTAATGTCATTGATATGCTTTTTTCTTGGGTTATCATTATTAAATTGGTTACTCTTGGCATCACCTCTTGTTTGTATTATGTTAAAAGTTTCAAGGAAACTGATGATAAACGGAAGATGAAGAAGATTGTTAAGTACATATATTTACTGGCGAATGAGAGAGAATACAAATTGAAATATAGCGAACAGAATAATTGAGATGAAATTTTGATTGGCTGAATAGTCTCTCAACTGAATAGAATTGAAGTTATATCAAGAATATTTATATAAATATATGACCTTTTCTTCTCCTTCTTTCTTCTTCTTCTTCTTCAGTTTATACTTTTTTTTCGAGTTTCAATGTGAACCTATAACTTGGAATAAACATGATTCTTCATGATGTATGTTCACAGGCAACTGAATTTTCTATACAAAACTTTACTTTGGTTATACATGTACTTATAATACAAAAGTAATGTTGCACTTTGTAAACGTTAAAGTTGAGTGAAAATGGATTTGAAAATTGTATTTAATAGGTTTTACTAGAGTTGAATTGAGTTGGTTGAAAAGATGAAAAGGTTTACAGGAAGATGATGAAGGCAAAAAAATTGCTTTCAAATTGAAATGTAATCGCAACTGTAAATTATTGATATTTACTTTTTTTAGCCCTTTTCTGCTAGTCTTGCTGATGGTCAGCTGGACAGTTTAAATGATGGTTTTGTGGACATGATGGCTCCATGGTTTATAAGGTGTAAAATGATGATGATGATGATGATGGGAGGAGAAAGTGTCACTGTAATGAGTGAGGTTAGGTGATAAACAGGGATGGAGAGGGACTTGAATGGATTTTGCCATCATGACGATGAGGAAGAAGAAGAGAGAACGGAAAAGTTTATTGGAACATCTTAATTAGGTCAGACTGTCAGTTGATCTTGACCATGGATTAATCTTCAAGTCAATGAAACAGTGTAACCTTTTGTTGTACAATAAATCGAAATGTAACAAAAATTTTCGCACAGTTTTCAGTATTTTCCCCTCATTCTGTGCTTTACATAGCGCTTGTATAATAGTGCCAAGAATTGCGTGTTTGTCTCAGTGTTCGAACAAATTAATTCTTCGAAGTTGAAGTAAAATGTTGAAGTGACTAGCTCTGACTGTGAAGGATCAAATGCTTTAATCCATAGACTATTGTTGCTACTTTGAGCTATGAAAAAAATTGACTGTTCATGAGTACTCAACAACTTATTTGTGATTGAAATCTATTTCCATTTTTATTCGAGATTTTGAGTTTGAAATGTTTGCTCAATTTCGATGAATCAAGAAATTTTGATTTCTGTACTTTCATTTTGACGCTAAATAATTCCATTTTTTTGTCAATCTCGATGACTATCAATGAATTTTACTGATTTTTTCAATCGATATCGAAAGTTATCTCAACTTTCGATTGATTATTTTGAGGAATTGAGACACACTTTGACTAGAAGTTTATCAGTCTGACTCAAAGTTTGACATCGTGCTTTGTTGCATTATATTGTTACATGATTCAAAGTTGAGATTTGATAGCCAAGTAGGCTAATGTTGCTTTGATCTTGATGAACATTTCATTTTGAAAAGTTTTAAATGTTTAATCAAGTTCAATATTTCAATTGGTTGCTTCCTTATTTGGTATTTGTCCATGTTTTTTACCCATGAATCAAGTGCATTTTTAATGAACTCTCATTTGGATGTTTCTTTGACTTCTTTACATTGGTTTGATTTAGTTTTTTTGTGGCTTTTCAGCTCAATAACAATGTAAAAAAGAAGTAAAATGTTCAACAGCCGCAGGGTATTTTTAAGGTTTTTATTTCTCTATTCCATCAAAGGTTATTCCATTTTCCTCTCCTCTTTGTTGTGTGTTATTGAAACCATATTTCTTTACCATCATCATCACCATTATCAACATTATCATCATTTTTCACCAGAATTTTTCATCCTCTCTGTTTGATCAGGAAGAAGAAGAAAGAGAGAGAAAAAAGTAAAAAACTGATTATGAAGAAGAAGAAAAAAAGAACTCAAAGGTTGTTATTGAAAATGATGATAAACACAACAATAGGAACCATGGTAAACGTGATATTAACCATAAGGTTGATGTTTGAAATGAAAGAGAATCTGATGAAAGAGAGAGAGAGAAAAAATCTGAAGAGAATGAAGTTTAATGAAGGAAAAATTGAACCAGAATAAGGTAGAGAAAAAAGTAAGAAAACATTTTCAGATTCATTTTTGATCAACAAAAGTAGACCTTTCATTGAATCCATTGAATGTTAACTTCTCGTTGACTTTAAGCCATTCAAATGTTAGTTTTACAAGGCGAAGAGGAAGAAGATAAAAAAAATGTTAACAATCAATCATTCATTTTATGTCCAAGTAACCTCCTTTTTTATTGCCTTTCCTCTCTTTCACACTCTTCCAGACACACTAACTTACTCTCTCTTCATCATAAGATGATGACAATATGTAATGCATAATGTCGTTCTTATTTTCCTTTTCATCCTTCGTAGGCAGAAAACAAGCGTTCCCTGTCAACACTAACCTGTCATGATGACCTTTTCCTCGACCCTTTGCCACTTTAACGTGTAAAAAAATAACTTGTCATCATCAACATAAAAAAAGACTCACCTTTCCAACTATTGCTATTAATAAATGTCTCTTTTAAATGTCATTTAAGTAGACTTTAACTTTTCAATATTAAATCAAAAGCCGCCAATATTGTCATCGACTCAAAAATTTTCATCATTTCTTGTTGAAATAATAATGCAAAATAATCTAATGGTGTCATCTAAAGGCCCATAAGCCAGTCAAACTTCAACCGCAATAGACTCATGTCTCAGGTCAAGAAATCAGTCTTGCTCTGCATCGACGATTTCCCACCGTAAATGGCTTCAACACGAAGAACACAAAATGTTTCAATTTTCTCGAAAACTTGATTTTCTTTTCGTCGCAAAATTTAAATTGTCATCAGTTAACCCTGAAGCGATCAATTTATTTCTTGCGAAATGACCCGAAATTATAAGCTAAACTTGGAGTCACAAGTCAGTCTAACTTTGACCGAAACAGACTCTACCTCTGCACTAGATGTTAGTCTTGCTCTGCCTAAACAACGATACTGTTGCAACGCAGAGAACTCAATTTTTTGCATTTTCTCAAGGACTCACTTTTCGTTCATTCCTCCCTTCCCTTCTTATTCATCGTCTTTCGTTGAATCTGAAGGTTTTGATCCATTTTTTGTTACATTAATAATGCAACCAGGTGATGTTGACCACTTGATAAAATCTCTGAATACAATGCAACAGATATCTGTAGATGTAGACAAGATTGTATCAGCCTTGTAAAGCAAACAAAAAATGATGCTAATTTTAGGCATAAACACTTAATGAAATGATAACAGAGTAAATCTTTGGCGAGGCTAAATAAAAGAACATCAATCTTACCAAGAGTATCATGTTAATCCAACTAACCAGCCATTTACATGAGAACGAAAAGCAGTTTCTGCTTCAATTGAATATCCAACCATCCCATAACCATACAATTTATCGCCATTTTCAGATGAATTCTTATCCAATTAGATAATCTTTCCTCTAACCAAGTAGTCTGAAGTAGCAAGAAAAGAGGAACAGAAAAAAAAGTTCCGGAAGGAATCAACATTCATGTAACATGTTCATGTTCAACTGACTATCATTAATAACCCAAAAAAATTAGAATAAAATCCATTAAAAGCGCAACGGAAATTCAAATGTCGGTCAAAAATGCAGAAAAGTTCAAAAGAATAGAAAAGGAAAAACAAAAAAACTAAAAAATCGAAAAAAGAAAAGAAAAAAAAAGTTTAAATGAAAACAATTTTACGGATAAATAATGACCATTGATAACAGTTTCCAGCAAGTAATCATTACAATAACAATCATCATCATCATCAGCAGAAAATAGCCCCTGAAATGAGAGAAAAAAAAGCGAAGTAAAATGACTGAAAAAAGGCGAAAAAGAAGAGAATTTTTTGTCCAAAAAAGAGAAGAAGAAAAAAAGAAACTCGGAAAAAAGGAATGAAATTAAACTAATAATAGTGAGTAAAATAACTGGGAGTTAAACGATAATAATAATTTTAAAAAGAGTCCAAGCATAACTTTTATGGATTCAATTTGGTAAAATAGTATTAACGTTATTACTATCATCATTATACTGCTTATTATCATCGGCATCATTACTATTATTATCATATATAATGTAATATATTATGATATATTAAAAAAGATGAAGATGACTCTTTATGGCCTGTGTAAAGTCCACTTGTCGAGTCTAATGTATGATAATATTTGTCAACTAACTGTAACCCCACTGGCTTTTAAAATTATGTTGACATTGTAAGGCTTGTTCCAAATTTCCAACTCATCTTCATCTTCATCATGTTCATCTATATTATGAAATAATATTTATTTATCCAGTGTTGCTTGCTGCTTTGCCTTCTTGTTTTTTTTCTTCTTCTTCATGCTTTACTGTGAAAAGTTATTTACTATTCTGAAAGCGAATAAAACATATCGAGTTATCATGATGATAATGATGATGATGAGGAGCAAAGAGATGATGATATGAAAGATAATATGGCAAATGATTTATAGATATACATCTTTATGGGAAAAGGAAAAGGAATCGTCATCACAATTTTTCGTTTTCACGATTGTTCCCAATTTCAACTTTTCACTTGGAAACTTTTTCATTTCTCCTTTCAATTTTATTTGGAAAATGAGATTTTCGTTGGATTTTAGTTCGATCATCAGTTGGAGAGGAACAGAAATTTTCAGTAGAATTTTTCGTTTTCATGATTGTTCGTTTTAGCATTTTGATGTTTGAGTTTTGTTGGGAAAATCGTTAAGTTTTAGTTCGATGGTTTGGCGAAGAGCAACAGTTTTGAAAAGATTTGAATTTTCGTTCTTTGC